CTCCTCCTTCCCCACCTCCTCCTCCTCCTCCTCCACCTCCTCCTCCTCCTCCTCCCCCCTCCCTCCTCCTCCTACTACTACTACTACTATTGATCTGTCTTAATAATTTATAAATTTTAACAGTTATTTAATATCATTTTTAGAATAGTTCACAATCAACGATTACGATTTGAACAACAACGTCAACGAATATTACGCCATAAACAACAATTACGTGAACAACAAATTAAACGTGAACTACAAAATCGTGAACATGAAGAAGAGCTTAGATATGAACAACAACAATATGAACAAAAATATCAAATGATAGATGAACAACAACAACAACAACAACAACATCACCATCATCATCAACAACAACAACATCATCATCAACAACAACAACAACTTTTTGCGATGGATGATGATGAACCGGATGAGAAGTGGAAATTCTATCAACATTCACGACGATTCTAATTTTGTTGACAAAATGATTTCATTCTCGTTTCCTCATTTAATTTTGAATATTTATCAGTTGAGAAAATTATAAAAATTAAGCTTTAATATATATTCACGTACGTCATTACTTTTGTTTACGTACGTCTAGTATCATTTCAAGATTCATATCATATTGAAAAAGTATGATACATGAGAAGATTTCTCTTTTCATTCAAAATTTTTTCTATGTTAGCTAATAGTATGGCTAATAAGTATTATAATGATGAAAAATTAGCCTAATCATCTTCTTCTATAATTTACATAATATATTGCTGTTAGATTGATTGTAAGTGTTAAGTTGATAAGTAAATGATAACCATACGATATGTAAATGATATCAATTAATCCGTCCATTTCACTTTATTCCGTTATAAATTTTACTATTACCGATATTTTTCGTATATTTTTTGTTAAAATTTTATTTATTCTACGATCAATTGAAGTATTAACAATAATATTGATATGGTTTTTCGTTTTTTTGATCAACTTTTGAGGTCAACTCAAAAGTGTCACATATTACTGTGTAATAATCAATAGAATGTATTATCGAATATCTTGAATCAATTAACAAATTATTTACAAATTTTTAGAAATAATTAATTCATTAACAGATAACTTTTACTTTTTGTAATTTAATTATTTTTGCTAATTTTCATTAAATGATATAGTGTATTTAACAAGAATGTAACATTTTAATTAGTAATTCAATTTTATTAATAATAATTACTAATAATCAAGCATCCTTTTATAAATTCCTTTTTTTCTTCAGTAGAATTTTAATAATTTAAATTCTATTCCATCCA